AACATTAACCCTTCAGTTGTTGGTTGTAGGGAAGTCCAAGTGTCCCCAGGGAGGTGCCAGAGTTACAGAGGGCACTTCAGGGGCTTGAGTCAGTAGCTATTTTCCAACGAGGATGGAGGCATTATGGTATTTTAACAGCCAGTATAGCCATGCTGATTGTACCAGCACACAGCCCATTTCGAATGTCTCTTGCCAGTCCCCACTTCTCCCCAGGAGAGGTGGTGGCCCTTTGCAAACGCAGTCTCCTTTGCCTAGAATGCTCTTCCCATGCGTGTCCTTTCCAGCTCGTGTCATCTGAAGGCAGGCTTCCCTGACCTCTGGGTATAAGTCATGTGGTCCTTACACTGGGATTGCCACATGCCCTGTAAGTAATCACACAGATGGTCTCCTCTTCCCTCTCTCTTGCATTTGCGGAGTCCTTACCTTATTCCTCACTGTCAAATAATTCATAAACATTTGTTCAATTGAAAGAAAGTGGACCTTAGAGCTGAGAGGAGCCCATTGTCCATGACTCAGGACAAAGCTGTGCAGGCATCATTGCAGCAACAGTGACTCAGTGGCATTTTCTGTATAATGAATGACTGCACACTGCACACAGCACACAGGATGCTCTCCACAATTTGTGATTGTGCACCCTTCCCAATAAGCAATCCTTTTGGGTATTTGCTACCCACATACACTTATATGTAATTCTATTAAGAAATTTTACTCATGTCCATTAAACTAAAATGTCATGTACATTTAAAAACTAACATTTTGTCTGAAGAAAAGAAAAAAAAACCTAATATTTTGTCAAGTTGAAGCGTAAAAACAAAAAGATAAACTTTTTTTAAAGGTAAAAAATAAAAACTATTCTGGATAGTATAAAGCACACACACATTAATGCACTTTAAATGATAAAATAGTGATATATGCAGAGTTGTAAACTCTTCACATCTCAACGAGCATCTTTGTGCCCCACACTGGAGGTTGCTGCAGAGGTGCTGCGTGCCAAAGTCACCGTATACAGGTCCATACAGTGGCTGCGTCCTAGACAGCTAGTCTCCACCTGCCAGTATTCTAAGTGTCCATCAAAGTCCAGCTCAATGCTAAAAGCAGATTATTAATACATCTGGAAGTCATGTTAGAGACCACATATTCTCATCTCCATAGGACGCAAAAAAAAAGGAAAGAAAGAAAAGGAAGGAAAGAGAGAGAGATATAAATACCCATTTTATAGCATCCTTTATAAATGGTGAACAAAAAACAGCTAGAAGTAGGTCTAGATCATTGGTCCTCAAATAGCAGACCCCTCCCAGGGACATTTAGCAATATTAGAGGCACTTTTTGTTGTCATTAGTGGAGGGGGCCTACTTCATCTAGTGAACAGAGGCCAGGGATGCTGCCAAACATCTTATAAATGCATAGGACGGCAACCACAACTAAGAATTATCTGGACAAAAAAAAATTAGATTAGAAAGCCCTTGTCCAGAAGAAGGGATAGAATCTGACTTGGTCCTGCCCCAGCTATGCTGTTTAGGAGCTGTGTCCCTGAACAAATCTCTAAGCCTGGCTCCTCTGTAAAAGTTATGGATCCATTCATCTGCTGATTCATTCATTCATTCATTCACTTAACAGATATTTTCCAGGAAATGGAGAGAAACAGCAAAGAACAAGACCTGATCTAACCCCAGAGAGTAGTGAAAATTAAATAAGAAAATTGGTATAAAAGCCCTTTATAATTTTAAGGTGCACAACAGACCCAAGGTAGAAATACTGATTTGTAAATAACACGAGGTGATGCATATAAGTGCTCACTTTCTAGCTATTTATTGTCTTTCATCTATTCTGAGAAGTACAGACTTTTCTTTTTCATATTTTAATATCTCTAAACTCAGTATGCATACATTAAAATGAAGTGCTTCACAATCACCGTCAGCCAGGCGGCAGTCACGCCCCCAGCAGTCACTGTAGTCAGTCACTGATTACCTGAGTGCAAACTTGGTCAGTGGCACTAATTCCTGGTGGCACTAAAACTAAGACAGAATAGGGAATTAGGGTAACCAAGGGTTAGGGCATGGGCTCAGCAACGTGGACTTCCACTCACCAAGGCTGACCTGGCTACAACCACTGCCGAGTGCCCAATTTACCAGCAGCAGAGACCAACACTGAGCCCTTGATATGGCACCATTCCTTGGTTCTTGGCAAGATTAGGCAGCATAGAGGCCACATCCTCACTCCTGTGATAACAAGACAGAAGTTTCTATTTCAGCCTCTAATTGGCTGCGGGCAGTCTCCACTTCAGCCTCTGATTGTATCTATGCACCCATGGGCCAAGTCTGCACTTCAGCCTCTGATTGGTCACGGACCAAGTCTCCACTTCAGCCTCTGATTGGTTGTGGGCCAATTATTCATAAGGTGTAACCCTCCGAAGGGCACCTACGGGTGTTACCAAAATTCTTCTAGCTTAACTTAAACCCTAAAAGACACATGCACACGTATGTTTATTGCGACACTATTCACAATAGCAAAGACTTGGAATCAACACAAATGTCCATCAGTGGCAGACTGGATTAAGAAAATGTGGCACATATACACCATGGAATACTATGCAGCCATAAAAAAGGATGAGTTTGTGTCCTTTGTAGGGGCATGGATGCAGCTGGAAACCATCATTCTCAGCAAACTATTGTTCTCACTTATAGGTGGGAACTGAACAATGAGATCACTTGGACTCAGGAAGGGGAACATCACACACCGGGGCCTATCACGGGGAGGGGGGAAGGGGGAGGGATTGCATTGGGAGTTATACCTGATGTAAATGACGAGTTGATGGGTGCTGACGAGTTGATGGGTGCAGCACACCAACATGGCACAAGTATACATATGTAACAAACCTGCACGTTATGCACATGTACCCTAGAACTTAAAGTATAATTAAAAAAAAAAAAAAGAAAGAAAAGAAAAAGAAACACTTAACTATTCAATGACTACAGAAAGGTTATATGAACTTGATCTATATTATATTTGTAATGAAATAATTTTTCATCTTTAGAGAATCAGGTTGTTGTCACAACAAAAATGTTGTATAATACACTGTATTAATAATAGCACACTAAATGGAAAAAAAAAAAAATTGTAATTGCGGCTCTTGAGCCTCTTGCCCAGCCTGTTTGTGCTCTGTAGAGTGTACTTTCACTTAAATAAATCTGTGCTTGTATTGCTTACAGCGTTGCTTCATTCTTTTGTTGCTTTCTGAGTTTTGTGTTGCTCTGTTTGTACACTTTGTTCAATTCTTTGTTCAACGTGCCAAAAACCTGGAAAACTCACAGTCAAGACTTTCCATCTGGTGGAAACCTCTCAGTGTTCAGTCAAGGAGCCATCAGAAGATCACTTACGAAAGGATCAAGAGCCCTGATGTTGTTTGAAGCTTTCCATGGATATCTTATGGTAGGAGCGAGAATGCACTGAAATTGGTTTAGATACTTTCAGGTGGCTCACACTGTTAAAGAATGTCTTTCCCCGGCTGGAGCCCAAACCCACCTGGTCTCACCCCTTGGAGACACACAGGCAGACCTACCTCTCAGCTAAGCCAGAGGTTCTCAACCCAGACCGCACATTAAAATAAATTAGCAAGTTTTTACATCACATGTTCTCACTTATTTGTGGGATCTAAAAATCAAAACAATTGAACTCACGGACATAGAGAGCAGAAGGATGGTTACCACTGGCTGGAAAGGGCACTAGGGACCTGAGAGGGAGGTGGGGTTGGTTAATGGGCATAAAAAAAAAAAATAGTTACAAAGAATGATTAAGACCTACTATTTGTTAGCACAACAGGTGACTATAGTCAATAATAACTTAATTGTACATTTAAAAATAACTGAAAGAATGTAATTGGATTGTTTGTAACACACAGGATAAATGCTTGAGGAAACAGATACCCCATTCTCCATAATGTGATTATTTCACATTGCATGCCTGTATCAAAACATCTCACAGCCAGGCGCGGTGGTTCACGCCTGTAATCCCGGCACTTTGGGAGGCAGGCGGATTACCTGAGGTCGGGAGTTCAAGACCAGCCTGACCAACATGGAGAAATCCCATCTCTACTAAAAATACCAAATTAGTCTGACATGGTTGTGCATGCTTGTAATTCCAGCTACTCGGGAGGCTGAGGCAGAAGAATCGCTTGAATCCAGGAGGGGGATGTTGCAGTGAGCAGAGATCGTGCCATTGCACTCCACCCTGGGCAACAAGAGTGAAATTCCATCTCAAAAAAAAAAAAAAAACAAATCTTATGGACCGTATAATATATACAACTACTACATACCCACAAAAATTAAAAATTTAGTGAGTTTTTAAAAATACTAATACCTGGGTTCCACTCCAAATCAAGTAAGAAGCTCTGGGGTGGGCCCAAGCATCTGCATTTTTTAATGTCCCACCCTAGAAATTCTGATTGAATGGTCCAGAGTGCAGCCTGGGCCGTGGGCTTTTTCAGTATTCTTCAGGAGATTCTAACATGCAGCCAGAGTGAGACTTGCTGAGGAAAGCCTTCTCTGACCGCCCGTAAGGAACCACTGCTTCCTTCTCCACCTGCTAACACAGTGGGTCTCTGCCGTGGCTGCACATGGGAACCATCTAAAGAACACTGACAAAGCCCAATGCCTAGGCTGTACCCCAGACCATTCAATCAGAATTTCTGGGCTCAGACCAGGAATCAGTAATTGTTACAGTTCCCAGAGTGAATGCAATGCATAGCCAAGGCTGGAAGCACTGCCCTAAATCCCGCAGTACTTGATGGAAAATGCCTGCCTTCTTGAAGAGGGTCAACCTGCATTGACTGAAACTGCATCTATTTAAAACATTTACATCCCACATTCTACCTCTCAGTATACATATTTGTGAACCAGCCTAATAGTTTATCTGTATCCACAAGACTTGGAAACTCTATATCCCTTTATAATACCCTACACATCACAGGTACTCAATGAAGAATGAACAGATGAACAAATAAATGGAAGGACATACATTTACTTTGTCAGGAATTATCTAATCACATGGGTGTCACAACTAATGTGCCAGTTTCAAAGACAAGGCAGAGATTTTGTAGTTTAAAAATCATTACAAAATAATAGGTTACTGATCAGGTAGAGGTCCTGACCTCGAAAGCCAAAGGTAGAAACAAAAATAGGATGTTTTACAAAGATATAAATGTTTAATTCCAAGGTAAGGCCACAGCTCACAGCTGTCAGTTTTTTGTGTTTTAGTACATTTAAGAGGGAAAATGTGGTACTAAAAATTCAGTATAGTTCCTACAGCTTAATTACATAGACATAACTTTGAAAAGTAATGCATTGTCCTTGTAGACAATGAAGGATATAAGTAGAGGAAGCTGAGTTCTTCAGAATTTGTTTGTCAACAAAGGGCCATTGTTTGTCACTTTCCAATACTATTTATTCTCCAGAGCTGTTTTTTTCAGCCCTAGACTGTCACCACAAATTCAATAATCTTAATGTAATCTTTGTTTTAATATAGTGCTCAGAGAGTTCCACATCTGATTCAAAAATAGCTTGAGGCATGACCAAGTTTGTTAATTTCTTTTAAAGCTACATTGATGAGAGCGGGACCAGGGAAAACATGCACGTGCTTGGCGCGTTACTGCGTGTCAAGGCCCATGGCCTGCTCCATGGCTCGAGTGTCCTCTGCGGGCGGTTTGGGCAGATCCAACATGGTGGAAGAGGCATCCCTGGGATTCCCAGTAACCAACATCCAGTGGTTCCTTGGTTTTTCAACTCTGTGTGAATCCAGGTATGTGTGAGCTACAACCTCAGCCTCCTTTCCAAAATAGGTGCTGTAGCAAGAGAGAATCAATTGTGGTTTGAAACTGAATAACAACTCTCAATAAGCTGTTATTAATAATTTAATCTCAAAAGTACCTTAAGAAGTGGATTGCTGGATAAAGCCCTAGGGAATCTCTAAAATGGGATATGTTTGCAGGGAGGTTGCACCCTATTTGGGCAAGGATTAGGCCGGTGGGACCCCATTAGAACTAAAATCCTCTTGTAGGGGAAGAACTTGTATAAAAGAAGGGGCTCTAACATAATTTTTCACACTATCGAAGTTCTATGTGGCAGTATTTCATCAGCAAAGGACATTTTTTGTATGTGCAGCCATATACTGTCAATTGAGCTTCTTTGCTTATATTCACGGCCCCCAGCCCCAATCACAGCATTTTGTTGTGCCCTGAAATACAATACCTTAAGAAAAGATGCCGGTGGGCTGCCAGTCCCCGATTTGTGTGACAGTGATTGATGAGAATTTTAGCATTTGCCTTAACAAATAAAGAAAATGTGTTATTAGCATTCTAAATTTTTTTTTTTTGCTTTTGCTTTTAGGGAAGCAAAAAATTTGAAATTACACTATACATTATTCAATTATATAAATTATATATATTCACAGGAAAAAATTACATATATTCACAGTCATGTGCCACTTCATGACATTTCAGTTAGCAAAGGACCACCTATGCGACCACATGTACGACCATAAGACCTTATTTTTACTGTACCTTTTCTGTGTTTAGATGCACAAATACTTACCATTGTGTTACAGTTACCTACAGTATTCAGTACAGTAACATGGGGTACAGGTTTGTAGCCTAGGAACACGAAGCTATCCCATGTAGCTTTGGTGTATAGTAGGCTATGCCATCTAGGTTTCTGTAAGTATATTTACGATGTGTAAATCAAAGAAAATTATTGAGGCGAGTCTCAATTATTTTAAGAGGTTTATTTGCCAAGGTCAAGGACACGCCCACCAAAAAGAACACAGAACAACAGGAAAACTTGGTGGTCCATGTTTTTTCCCAAAGAGGGTCTGGGGACCTCAACATTTAAAGTGAAAAGAGCGGGTACTGGGGGGAAGAGGAATAAAGGAAAAAACAACAACAACAACAACAAAAAGAAGGGTAAATAAAAGAGGCAAGCAGTTGCGTTCTTTTGAGTTTTCTGTCAGTGTTCTCCAAATACACATTTTACATGTGAGAGGGGGGTAGAGGAATAGTTACTTATGCATTCCTCTTGGGCTCAGTGAATCTGCATTTTTACATAAGATGAAATAAACATAGGGCAGAGGGAGCATTCATACATGCCTTTGTCTCAGGTGAGCAGGATGCCTTTTAATTCTGTCCTTTGTCCCATACTGTGAAGAGAAGCTATTGCTTTACATTGTAAATGGGTAACATTCCACATAACTGTTTTAAGGTAAAGATCTGGGGACCCACGAGGAATTTCCTAGTGGGCAAATTGTGAGGGATGTATGTAGCTTTAAAATATATATATGTATATATATTATATATATGTATATATATATCGTGTGTGTGTGTGTGTGTGTGTGTGTGTTTAGCTATCCTATTTAAGAGCAAAATGAGAAGCAGGTTTGTGTGACCCCATTCCCAGCTTGACTTTTGCTTTGACGTAGTGAGTTTAGGTCCCAAGATTGATTTTCCCTTCACAATGTCCACACAATGACAAAATCATTGTCAGGTGACCACGATTGCCTAATGATGCATTTTTCAGAACTTATTCCCATCGTTGAGTGACACATGACTGTACATATATTTATACAGACACAGAAAAATGTAGATGCCAAACCATAATGGATGGATGAAATACATTATTGTAGATGTCTGTATGATGAAATCATCACTCAAAGTTATACTGGAGAAGATCTTTGCCACACAAGATATGGTCAATGGTGTTATTCAATGGAAAAAAAGAAGTATCTTCATGATGTCCTATCTTGTAAAAAGAAATGATAAGCAATGGCTTTCTCTGGAAGTGGAACTACTGGTAATTTTCATATTATTTTTGTGCTTTCCTGACTTTTCATAAGTGAACATATGTTTATAATCAGGAAAAATATATACTATTTCAAAATCCTGACTCATGTAAGCTAAAAGCTGTGTAAGAAAGAAAAAGCAGCCCTGCCATCCAGGGGTTGGCCTGGCACTCACAAGTAGGCCTTAGTGTTCTCCTGGAAACAGAATCAATTTCACAGAATGTCCACATCAGACAAGGCCACTCTGTGATCATGAGGGGTCAAAACAAAAACAAGAGCACTCTATAATCATATCTGAACACACATAAAACACAAACATTGGCTAAGCCACTAAATACCAAATACCAGCCTCTCCCAGCTAATATGAGCGACTGACTGCTGCTTCTTTACTCATGACAGCTTTGTCCTCACTCTAGTCTGGCCCTCCCTAGAGATAAGATTTATTGCAATAAATAATCATAGAATTACCCCGACTTCCTTATAGCATGCAGTCCAGAGCGAAGCCTTACTTCTTGGGATTCTCTCTAACACCATCCAACCAAAGCCCAAATTCTATAAGCATCCTAACACCCTCTTACATGCTTCCCCAGGGTGTGTGTTCTCCCTCACTGTAATAAGTAATCCACCTAACCTGTTAAAACACAGTTGTTGCTGGTGGTCTTTCTAGCCAGAGATCCTTGACACGTGCAAAGTAGCTCAGACAGGTTTGGGTTTCCCATTTGCAGATGTGTAACCATGTCTCAGTGAGGCTTGGGGAGACTTTCCTCAAGTCATAAGGTGAATCAGTAATGGAGAAAAGAACTCCTGGTGCCTGGAACACTGACTGCTCCCTTAACCTCTAAAAAAAACTGGCAGCAATAACAATATAACAACAGTCATGACAACAAGAAACACTTGTGAGTGTCTTCTATGAGCCAGGCACTTTTCGAATTAACACTCTAAATGTACTAACCATTTAGTCTTCACAAAACCTCAGAAGGTAGGTACTATTAACACCACAAATTTAGATAGGGAAACTGAAGCACTGACAGTTTAAATTGTGGAACTAGAAGGTAATTCTCAGAGGAGCAAAGCTTAGCAAAGGACAGCTAAAGAGAAAAATTTGTAAAGCCTGTTTCATTGTAGATAATATATATGTCCTCCATGCTTGGAGAAAGAACTTTGTGAAGTCAGGGTCCACTTGGCAGAGGTGAGGGACAGGCATGCAGCGTCAGGTGGACTCAGTGGCCTGCAACCGCGGCCACTTCCTGGTCGGTAGCAAGCAAACCCTGGCCATGCTTGCTACTAATTCCATACTCAACGCAGTGGCTGCCAACACATCTTCATTCTGTTTGCTGGATGCCTCATAAGCAGGAAAGCCTCTGGCCCTTGAAATAGGGAGGCCTACTCTGTGCCCACAAGACCCCCTGACCTTCTCATCAGGACCATGCTTCAGGTTCCAGTCCCATGGGTCCCAGCATCCGGAGAAAATGTCACACAGTGACAATGAGAATGATGCTGTCCTGCAGGACCACTGCATTGATTGTGTGGCTACCCTGCTGTCTCCTTGGCTTCTCCAAACTCCATTTTTTTTTTTTTTTTTTTTTTTTGAGACAAGGTCTCACTGTTGATCAGAGTGGAGTCCAGTGGCACAATCAGGGCTCACAGCAGCCTCAACCTCCCAGGTTCGGGTAATCCTCCCACCTCAGCCTCTCAAGTAGTTGGGACTACAGGCGCTCACCACTATACCTGGCTAATATTTATTCATTTATTCATTTGTTCATTTATTTTAAGATAGAGTCTCACTTTGTCACCCAGGCTAGAGTGCAATGGTGCAATCTTGGCTCACTGCAACCTCTGCCTCCTGGGTTCAAGAGATTCTCATGCCTCAGGCACCTGAGTAGCTTTGATTACAGGTGTGTGCCACCACACCTGACTAATTTTTGTATTTTTTGTAGAGACAGGGGTTTCGCCATGTTGCCCAGGCTGGTCTTGAACTCCTGGCCTCAAAAGATCCGCCTGCCTTAGCCTCCCAAAGTGCTGGGATTGCAGGTGTGATCCACCACACCTGGCCTCAAACTCCTTAAAAATTAGGACTTACCAGAGGCCTTAGTGAAAACAGTGCAAAGGAAGCAATGTCACAACCCTTACAGTCGCACATCAGTGGTTCTTAACCTGATATCAGGGGCAGGGCCTGAGCTTTTTAGCTCCTGAAGTGATTCTCATGTGCAGCCAGAGCTGAGAAACTCTAACGCACGATGCTGCCATGAGGTAAATTGGTGCCTTCCAAACTTGTGTAATAAATGGAAAAGAGAGAGAAAGTCATAAGGCATTTGAGCTGTAAGTCTGTGTGTTATGCATGGAAAATAAAAAAGACAGAAAAGAGAGAGAAAGTCATAAAGCATTTGAGGTATTTGAGCTATAAGTCTGTGTTTTATAGACAGGAATAAATTGCATTCATTTCATAGCATAGGCACCCATGTCTTCCCGATGCTGCACTCACCGGGACGGGGAAGCCTTCATATTCCAGGCGTAACTGGGGGTCAGGGATGGCAGCCTGCCAGCAGTTCATATGGGAGACCTCATCTGTTAGGTACACTTCCTGGAGCCAAGACCTCTTAGACGATTTTAGGAGGGTCCTGTGGTCACTTGATAAATACAACTGAAAATGACAGCAAGCAGATGCTCTACATCAGAGCTCTGTAAAAAGCTGGGGAATAAAGAAGCAATTGACTGGCTGGACGGCAAGCACATTCAAAGCAATTCTCAAAAACTGTGTTCTTACTGATTGTATGAGAAAGCACAATTTTCCTCTACCTTAGGTATGCCATCTGGCATGCTGAGACCAAGACACACACATACACACACTCACATCTCCAACCACTTTTCCTTCCTCTGAATACCAAACTCAATCTTCCTCTCTCCTTCCTACTCCCTGTCCCCTGTAACCCTTCAGGATATAGGAACTGGATCAATGGGGTTTTTTGTTTTGTTTTGTTTTTGTTTTGAGACAGGGGCTCATTCTGTTGCCCAGGTGGGAGCACAGTGGCAATCACGGTTCACTGCAGCCTCCAACTCCTGGGCTCAAGCAATCCTCCCACCTCAGCCTCCCGAGTAGCTGGGACTGCAGGTGCACATTGCTATGCCAAGCTAATTTTTTTATTTTTTGTAGAGATAGGATCCCACTGTTTCCCGAGCTGGTCTTGAACTCTTGGTCTCAAGCAATCCTCCTACCTTGGCCTCCCAAAGTGCTCGGTTTATAGGTGTGAACGACCATGCCCAGCCATGGACTAATATTTTATTTAATATAAATGATGGTGCATTAAACTCATCACATGAAATGAATTATTCTTCAAATCAATATCCTCACAGCTGATATTCATTTGTGAGCCTCCAAGGTGACCCACACCCCTCTGGAATTGATGTCCATGCTGGAAATTTATGTTGGCTATCTGGCTGCCTGTAACCTTGCCAAGAAACTACCCCCATCCTGCTGAAAAGTCCAAAATCTTAGTTCTTTGCTAGTTCTTCACTGGTTAAGCCCCACCCCGAATGTGGCAGTAGTTTCTGCATATTTTGATGGGTTTCCAATAAGCACCTTTCCCATGCAAGGCTGTGCTGTAAGGCACTGTGGGCAAGGCAGAGGTGAGTTACTATCCTCATAGGTTCTCCACCTAGCAGAAGAGGTGATTGAGCACAGAAATGGGAAGCACCTGCATGTACCTTTCTGGTTAGGGAGGTCCAGCAGATTTGCAATGAGCTGGGGGAGGCAGAGGTAGGAGTATAGTACTTTCCTGGGGGATCAAAAGAGGCTCTGAGGAGGAAGCTGGAAAGCCAGAGCGGGTGAGCACAGAGAGGGTGAGGATGTATTATAGAGGGCCTCAGATGCCACAGCAAACAGCCAGAATTTGGCAATGGGGAGCCACTGCTGACTCCAGTGAGGATGGGCGGTGACCAGACCTGTGCTTGTAAAAGATCAACCTGAAAAATGAAAAATAATAATAATAAATTTTAAAAATTTAAATTTAAATTAAAAAAAAAAGGTCAACCTGGCAGCACCCTGTCTAGTATGGTCTGAAGTCAGGATAGACTAAAAGGGCAAAACAGTGGGACCTGGGCTGCTGAGGGGCTGCACTGGGCATAAGAAACACGCCAAAGTGCAGTATGAAGGGAGAACAGTGCCTAGGAATGGAGGAAGAGACCTGGTAATCAGCTGGACGTGGGTGGGGAAGGGAGATGAGGCTAAAGTAGATTCGCCATTGGCCCTGGATGATGGTGCCTTTCAGAGCAACAAGAAAACCAGAACTTAAAAAGGCAAATAAGGTCAGGCACAGTGGCTCATGCCTGTAATCCCAGCATTTTGGGAGGCTGAGGCAGGAGGATCACTTGAGGTCAGGAGTTCAAGACAGTCTGGCCAACATGGTGAAACCCTGTCTCTACTAAAAATAGAAAACTTAGCCAGGTGTGGTAGCAGCCGCCTATAATCCCAGCTACGCAGGAAGCTGAGGCATGAGAATTGCTTGAACCCTGAAGGCAGATGCTGCAGTGAGCCGAGATTGCACCACTGCTCTCCAGCCTAGGCGACAGAGTGAGACTCCAACTTAAAAAAAAAAATCTGTCTCAAATCACAAACTCCTTTGTTCACCTAAAGTAACACAATAAAATTTTGCTGAGAGAATAAATGGAGAGACATCCCAGAAGAATAAATATGGCAAAGTTACTAAATATGTGAATTTACTTCATTTTACAATGCCAATCAAAATATAATTCCAAGTAATCTTTTCCCCACAGGGGCAGAGGGACTTGGAAAAAATAACCATTACATTTAACTGAGAAACTAATTCCTAACATAATTCAGACAAAGAAGTGTAATGAGAGGCAACTAGCTCTATGAGCTGTCAAGGTCACAGGGCTATGAGCCCTATCCTAAAGCTCTAATAATTAAGACGCTATAGTCTTAGAATAAAAATAGACAAGTGGACTGGGTGCAGTGGCTCACGCCTGTAATCCCAGCACTTTGGGAGGTGGAGGCAGGAGGATCACTGGAACTCGAGTTCAAGACCATGGCCAATAATATCTGTTATTGCAGAGATGGCGAAACTCCGTCTCTAAAATAAATAAATAAATAAATAAATAAATAAATAAATGGCATAATGGTGTGCACCTGTGTTCCCAGCTACTCGGGAGGCTGAGGCAGGAGAATTGCTTGAGCCTGGGAGGTGGAAGCTGCAGTGAACCAAGTTCGTGACACTACTCCAGCCTAAGTGAGAGAGTGAGATCCTGTCTCAAAAAAAAAAAAAAAAAGAAATAGACAACTAGAGTTTAATGGATCCAAATAGAAAGCTCAGAAGGAGAGGGTAGTATATACAGTAATTTAATGTATGCTAAGGGAAATGTCATGCATCTGTAGAGAAAGGAATAATCATTCAAGAGATAATGGATATAATTGATCAGTAATCTGGGACAAAATGAGATATTCACATAAAACCCTTTATCAAAATAAATCCCAAGTTGATTAAATAATAAATGTAAGCAAAAGTCAAATTGCAAACATCTAGAAGCTAATTCAAGTTTTCATTTTTATCAGATCTCTAAAGCAGTCTTTAAAACTTAAAAGCAATGGAAGGAATTACAGAGAAAAACACTGATACATTTTACTCAAAAATATAATATTAGAACAACTATAATTTAAAAGCCAAGCAGCAAATGGAAATCTTAGCAACACATATGACAAAATTTAGTAATCAATGGTATATAAACCCAAATCAACACAAAGGCAAAAAACGAATGATTTGCAGGAGAGAGGAGAGGGAGGGAGAAAGAAAAAAGAAGCAAGAGAGAAAGGAAGAGATAAGGGAAAGAGAACAAACTTAAAATACAGGAGAAATTACAAGTAGTACAACATTTACATATCATTTTTTCCTTTCATTTTGTTTGCTTGTCAAATTAGCAAAGTTTTAAATTATGATATTTAATACAATCAGTGAAGCAGTAGATGATCATTCTTATTGTTGCTGAGAGTGCAAATTGGTACAGCCCATTACAAAAAGAACTCTTTATATGTATTAATACTTTTAAATGTGTTCATATTCTTTGACTTAGTAAATCTTTGCCCAAAAATCTATCCTAAATGTAGAATTCCTAACTTGAAGTTTGAGAGAGGAAGCTTTAAGCGTTTATACACAAATGCACACTGGAATTTTACATATAAGAGAGAAATATTGGACCAAACCCAACTGCCCAAAAGTAGAAGAAAGACTAGGTAAATAATGATACTGCCACACAATTATATATTATGCTCTCATTAAATGCATTTGTCATTTTAAAAAGCTTTAAAAATGCTATTTTAGAAAGAATAACCTATCTGTATATTTATCTAAGTTTTAACAAAATACATAGGAAAGTAAAAATAAGCCAAAATATTAATGGTGCTAATCTCTGGTTAAGAAATGGTAATTTACTCCCTTTTTTCAATAAGTCAATACTTATCAGGCTGCAACTTACCATCTGTGGGGTGTCAAAGTTTAATTGGTAGCATTGTTTCTTCTTCTTCCTCCTCCTCCTCTCTCTTTTCTTCTTCTCTTTTTGAACACACCGCCCTCTTTCTTCTTCTCTTCTTTCTTCTTCCTTCTTCTTCTTCTTCTTTTCTTACTTTCTTCTCTTCTTCCTTCTTTTCTTCCTTCCTTCTTCTTCT